AATTACTGGGATGCCCCTGATTAGTGATGGGACACCCAGATGACTTAAATCATTAAACAGGATTAGGCCCATTAACACAAGCCCAGTTACAAGATAAGTTAAACATAAGAATGGGCTAATAAGAACTCTTATCAGCCGAACATCACTCTAACATTCTAACACACAACATGGAACTTCCTGGACATGTTTGGTCAGTTCATTCACAAGTAGTCTGGACAAATTAAGCTGGGTGTGGGCCCTTGATGAAAACCCCTGTAATTGAAAACTCTGACATCTCTTACCTAGGTGTTCTAGCACTAGTCATTGAACAATCATGCATATCCTCAATTAGGTCAGTAAACTTATTTTGAACTCTTTCCAAAAGTTACCATATTATCTCTTGGGAATTGTCATATACTTTCTTAGATTAATGAATACCATGTGAAGAACTGATAAAAATATGAATACCATGTTTTTTTATTTCTGATAAATAAAAAATGAATACCATGTTGATTTCTCTTCTCTTGAAAATTTTCTATTAATCACTTGTTGGTTGTAGCTTTGTTTTTCTGCTTGCTGGTATGTCCTGATACTTGATGCTTACAAAAAATTGGCATGATTATTTGACCTCTTACTATCAAAAGGATGATAATGGCAAACTTCAACCCAATTCTTCCCTTTGTGATATGACTTGTATAGAATGGAATGGATTGCATTAGGTTTCAGTTGATTCCTAGTGGTTTTAAAAACAGGTTCCTCCTATGGGTCTATTCTACCCTCTGCTTTTGGTTCAAGATGAGTACCCACCACCACCTCGTTCTTGGTGAGTTATGTTTATAATCTTTCCACCATTAAGCAGAATTTCTGCCTTATATTAGTTTTTGAGGTAACTATTTTACTTTATCACCAGGTTTCATGACTACGAGGATATGCTGGAAGATACATGGCATATTGATTTCGCTAGAAGATCGGACATGTCAGAGGGTTTATATCTTGGTGTTAATGGTGGAATGCCCATGTGGGATAACTACCCGGTTTTCCCAACTAGACTGAAGAAGGAAGACAATCTTGGTCTTGCAGAGGCAATAACTAGTAGCATTCTTTCAACAGGTAGGTTCTGTGTGTGTGTGTATGTGTGTATTCTTCTGGGAAATGGTGCACCTTGACATAGCATCATTGACACCGTTTCATTCTAAACTGGCAGGGCGTATAGATCTTCAGAGGAAGCTCTTTTGTAGCATACAATTGGTGAGTATTGGAGATGTAGGATAAACAATGCAATAATGTGCTACCAAATTGTTTTAAGTACTACATTTTTGCTTCAGATTGGCGGGGTGGCTTTGACAAGTGGCCTGGTTCCAGCAGTGGAAGAAAGGTAAAGGAATGTTATAATCTGATGATAAGCAGTAAATATGATCTTCAAATGGCAATTCTCTCTGTTTTGATGATTGGGGGTGTTAGATTATGTACTGGTTGTTTTGATCTCAACAAGTGGAAGCATATTGCATGGCCAGTCATCCCTCTGTTTCTTTGCTTAAATAATTCTTCATTTCAGCCTTGTTCGCAGATGTTGCAGATGCATTCTTCCATTCATGAATATATTGATTTTCTATGTTTTAATGAAGTTTATACATTTTTCATGAAGATTATTTTTTGAGAGAAGGTGAAGTTAGTATATTTATGAAAAACAAACATGTACAACAAGGTGATATACACAGGGACTAATCAAAAACTGCCCTGGAATGTATTTTCCCCCAAACTTTCTGGAAAACAGAATCTGAAGAGCTAATCTTATTTTTGAAGATTCTTGCATTTCTTTCCTGCCATTAGCACCAAAACACCACCGCTGGGATTATGTTCCAGATCAGCTTTCCTCTTTTGCTCAGACCTTCCAGCCTCCATCCTTTCAAAAACTCCGATACTGATCCTGGCCAACAGCTTTTCAGCTCAAAAAGTTGAGCTACTCTAGACCATATCTCAGCAGAAAAAAGGCAATGTAACAGCAGATGGTTCACAGATTCTGAGTGGCCTTCACAAAGAACACAATCTGATTAGTCCAAAAGCATTCCCTTCTGCAGAAGATAATAGACAATTAATAGTGAAAGATGGTTGCTACTTGCTATGGAACCTAGGGAATTATCCAAACATTCATGGTTTTTATTCAAAAAATTCCTGTCGCCTAGGCGACAATGAACCCCCCCATCATCTAGCCTCACCTCAGCGTCTTGAAAACTATGCCTTCAATTCAAAATGTGCAAAATGTATTAGGTCATTAGTTTACGAAAAAGGTAAAAGAAAAAAGGGGAAATAAACACAGGGAAAGGGAAGGTGGACATCGGGAAACTGGTGGAGAGACAGGTAGAGATAGGCAAAGCTCTCGGTTTATTTTTTCTGGGAGGGGAAGGGGCAGTGAGGAAAGCCATTGAGCAATTTGAGAAGAATAGAAGGGAAGAACAAAATAAAAGAAAGATTATTAGTGAAGGGGGAGAGGCATGGGATGAAGGAGAAGGAAGGGAAGATGACATAGTTGATGAGGAATAAAACTTCCAGTGCTAGAGTCGGGGCCTGGGATCAGTTTTAAAAATGAAACTGGTTTCCTGGATCGTGCGGGGATTGAAAGAAAGAAGAAAAACCATTGTCAGGAACATTCTGAGAAAGTTTGATCCAGAGGTTTGTTGCAAGAAACAAAGTTGGAAGTTTTTTACTTGGGCATAAAGAATGAAGTTTGGGGAGCTAATAGTTGGGAATGCGCAGAGGTAAAGGCGAGTGATTTATCAAGAGGTTCAGGAGTAATCTGGGATCGTAGATATCTAAGGAAAATTGGAGGAGGGGAGTACATTCAATATCAATTTGCTTTCAAATGGTGGAAGGGGGGTGGCAACGGGGTCTCGCAAACATATATGGCCCTAATGATGAAAGGGCAAAGGTGGAGATGTGGGAGGAGCTGGAGAGGGTAAGACAGGAATGGGGGGGTGTCCTTGGTTGGTGCATAGGAGGAGATTTCAATTCAGTTAGAAGGGTGGGGAAAATGAAGGGGGGAAGGGATGAAAGAGAGAGTGGGGATGAGAAGATTTGGTGAGTTCATCAGAAGGAATGGTTTAAACGATCCACCTCTAAATGGATGTAGATATACTTGGTCAAATGACCAAAGCTCACCCATCCTGAGGAGACCGGATAGGTTCCTGTATTCTGGAGATTGGGAGATGCACGTGGGTGAATTGATTCAGGAAGCTTTGCCTTTGTTCTTGTCTGACCACAAGCCTGTTGTGCTTAGACATTTTGCAATGATCAGTGGTCCAAAGCCGTTCAATTTTGAAACTTGTGGCTTGACCACCCAAAATTTCTAGAGTGGGTAGAGAAGTGGGGGGATATTCAAGTAGAAGGAACTGCAGGTTTTAGATTGGCCAGGAGGCTACAATTACTGAAAGAAGAGATCAAGGGTTAGAGTTCAACAGTATTTGGGGATACAGTAAGAAGAAAGAAGGAAATACTAAAAAAAATGGCCCTTTTGGATAGGTTGGATGAGGAAGGAAATGCTTCTAGAGAGGATGAGGTTGAGAGGGAAAGACTGGACTGTGAATTAAAAAGATTAATTTTTAGAGAAGAGGAGAAATGGAGACAGAAATCAAGACTGACATGGTTGAAAGCAGGTGATAAAAATTCTGCTTTCTCCACGCCTACGCTAATGCGAGGAATTTTATCTGTAGGATCCAGGTGGGGGAGGAGATGGCGGAGGATTGGATTGAAATTCAAAACAAAGTAATGATTTTTATAAGAATCTATATACTTCAAGAATTCAGAACTGGATGTCTCTTGGGGACTTGGTTCCAAGAAAATTGGATGTCGTTTCAGTAACATGGCTTGAGAGGGATTTTGATTTGGGGGAAATTAAGGAGGCTCTGAAAGGAATAAATGGGGATAAGGCCCCAGGCCCAGATGGTTTTTACTTCACATTCATAAAGGCATGCTGGAATCTACTAGAAAAGGAGTTTAATCAGATGTTCAAAGAGTTCCACAAAGAAAGTCTCTGGAGAAAATGACTAATGCTACTTTTATATCTTTAATCCCAAAGAAGAATGGAATGATAATTTGAAGGATTTTAGGCCAATCAGTCTGATCAGCAGCACTTACAAATTATTAGCCAAGGTTCTGTCAAAAATGTTGAGAAAAGTGCTACATGAAGTGGTGGGGGAAGTTCAGATGGCTTTTGTGGAAGGTAGGCAGATCTTAGATGGAGTTTTAGTAGCAAGTGAATGTATAGATTCCAGATTAAGGAGTGGAAGAGCTGGTTTTGTGTGCAGGATCGACATTGAGAAAGCCTATGACCACGTGGAGTGAGGATTTTCTAGAAGAGATTCAAAGATTGATCATTGATGGGATTTGGAGATAAGTGGAGAAGATGGATGTTTGCTTGCATCTCTACAGTGTCATATTCTGTTCTCATTAATGGAGTTTCTACGGAATTTTTCCAAGCGTCGAGGGGCTGAAGGCAAGGAAACCCTCTCTCTCCTATGCTCTTTGTTTTGGTTACAGAAGTTCTAAACTGCTACTGGAAAGAAGTGGACAGCTGGGTCTAATAGAAGGCTTCAAAGTGGGTAGAGATGCACATGTATCTCTCATTTGCAATATGCAGAGAAGACGATACTTTGATATTTCTGGACACTTCTCTTGAGCAGGTTTTAAATGTAAGAGCAGTATTGAACAACTTTGAGCTGTTGACAGGGCTGAAGGTGAACCTATCAAAAAGTGTTCTGATTGGAGTTGGGAGGGTGGATAGGGAGGTTCTAATGGAATGCGCTGACACTTTTGAATGTAAAATTGGAGAACTCCCCTTTACATCCTTAGGGATACCGATTGGAGGTTTTTCAAAATAAGGTACACTATGGAGACCAATAGTGGAAAGAGTGGAGAAAAGGTTGGATGGATGGAAGGCAAAATACTCATCTTTGGGGGGAAGAATAATCTTGATAAAGAGTGTTCTTGCAAGCTTACCGACTTATAATCTATCCTTACTTAGGACTCCATCACAAATAGCTAAGAGAATTGAAAAAATTCAAGGGGATTTCTTTGGGAAGGATTATGTGGGGAGGGCAGGGGGAAGAAGTTCCATTTGGTGAGTTGGGGAAAAGTTTGTAGGCCAAAGGAGAATGGTGGTTTGTGTTTTAGGAGGATCAAGCTCTTTAACAAAGGCTTTGATTGGGAAATGGCTGTGGAGATTTGGCTCAGGAAGGGAGGACAATTCTTTGTGGAGAAGAGTGGTAGTGGGCAAGTATGGGATGGTGAGTTTTGGGTGGGAATCCAGGGAGGTAAAGTCTTCATATGGGGTGAGTGTATAGAAGGGAATCATGAAATTCAACCAAGATTTCAGGGTCCTAACAAGTTTTTCATGGACCAAGCATCAGATTTTAGGAGGATGATTGGTGTGGAGCAGGTAAGCTATGTGAGCTTTGTCCAAGTTTGTATAGATTATCTGAAGCTGAAATAACCATAAGTCAGTGTTATGAGAGAAGGGGAGGACAGTGGTTTGGTGTCCAATTTCCAGAAGACCTTTATTGGATAGTGAATTGGAGGAATGCATTTCTCTTTTGGAGAGGTTAGAGAAAGTAAAAATCTCAGATCAATCAAGGGATGAATTCTGATGGAAAGAATGTTCAAATGGGAGGTTCACTGTTAAATCTTGTTATATGGCTCTTATCAGAAATATTGCAGATTCTGATCAGGTAGCTCCTGTTTGGGGAAACCCGGTTCCACCAAGGATTGATGCATTTGCCTGGCTGGTGACAATGGAATACTATTCTGACTGTGGATCATCTGAAATCCAGGGGCTTCAGTTTGGCTAATAGATGTGTACTCTGCAAAGAATAGGAGGAATCAGTCAGTCATCTTTTTTCCTCTTGCAAGATTGCTGAGTTCTTGTGGATGATTTTCACTACTATGTTTGGAGTCTAAAATTTCCAACCAGCATCTACTGCAGGCATCTTCTCTTCATGGTCAAAACTACAAGTAAAAAAAGCAAAAATGATTTGGAGCTGTTTACCGTTTGCAACTTGTTGGAACATTTGGAGAGAAAGAAATAGAAGAATCTTCAAAGAAAAATATTGGAATTTGAACAAGATTGTGGCAACTGCCAACACCTCGGTAGCAGATTGGGTTCTTGCAACTCCAGAATTTAATCGTGTCTCTAGGGAGCATTTGGGGTATAGTTTGGGAAATACTTTGGAATTCCAACTGTGTAATCTGTTATAGTTTTTGTATTTTTGTATCTCTGCTCCCTAGCAGATCTCATTTCTGATTTTGATACCCTTGAAGTGCAGGTAATGCCTTATCACCTGCTGGTTGTAATCCTTTTTCATTTTAATGAATTTTATTTTATCTTCAAAAAAATTTGACATTAGCCTTTGACTTGGATTAAATTCTTTTGTGTTGCAGAGTTTTGCACGCTATTCCTTCAAATGAAGCAATTGATACTGTTGAGGTTAGTAATTGAAATAGTCCTTTGATCTCTTCTGTATTTATACTTACAAGAGTATCAGATTTGGATGTGAAGAAGACCTCGTCTACAGTAAAAAAAATCAGTGAATGCATCTCCATCAACTAAAGTCCTTTTGTAAACAGGTGTTGCAACCAAGAACAGATCCAACATTTGTATCATGGAAAGGCGGAGCAGTAAGTCAACCACTATAGTCATTTCCCATTTCTATTYCTTGAGGCTGGAAATTGGCTTAATATATGCTCTTTTAAATTGGAAATGACTGATTGAGGAGGAATTCTCCAACATGAATTACTTTCTTTGTTGTGAACTAGGCCCTGTAAAAATTATTTTTTTGAAACAAAAACACACGATATACATTCTTGTTATTATTTTACTTATTCAAAAACTGTTACCAGAAATGTGTTTTTGAATTTCTTGTTTCATAATATGATTTCCTCTGGTGGCCTGATATATTATGTTATATAAAGCAATATTCGGATAGAGATTATGATAGAATGTATATTAGTTCACCTTTATTTTTATTGTTTTTTTTTTTTGGTTTTTTATTTGTACTTTGGCCTAAAGTCCATTTAACTAAATGTAGGTTGGTATGATTTGTAGGAGCTTTAGAGAAGCACTTTTTTTGCTTCATTTCAGAAAAACGCTTGTAAGAGGGTCCATAGTAGATTTTGGTGTACGTGGAACTTACTGAATAGTAGTTCACATCTGCCTTTTGGAAATGAAAACATGTTTTTGTTATTGAAAACGTCTTTTTGTTGGTTTTAGAATAGGGGCGTCTTTTCTGAATGAAACTAAAATATTTTCACTTTGCTTTGAGAAAACAGACAGTGAATATTATTTGTTGTTGATGTGGTGTTTTCTAGAAACAAGAAAAATAAAGCCATTTAAATGTAGGTTGGTATGATTTCTAGGAGCTTTAGAGAAGCACCTTTCCTTTTGCTTCATTTTAGAAAAGCACGTGTACGAGGATCCATAGGAGATTTTGGTGCATGTGGAACATACTGAATAGCAGTTCTCATCAGCCTTCTGGAAATGAAAACATGTTTTTGTTATTGAAAACATCTTTTTGTTGGTTTTAGATAAGAGTGCTTTTTTTCTGAATGAAACTAAAATATCTTAACTTTGTTTTGAGAAAACAGACAATGAAGAATATGTTTTATTTTTTTGTTGATGTGATGTTTTCTAGAAACAAGAAAAACAAAGGCATTAATGTTGGAGGACATTCACAAAAGCATGTCTATAAAATTTTGTCACAGTTGTCTTGGCACTAATACTCATTCCCATATATATCTTGATTCTCAAGTTAAATTAAACTTCTCCTTTTCTCTTTCATAATCAATATGAAACTTTGTATAAAAGCTGGTTTTTAATTATTTTAAGTTATATATTTTGGTTATAGAAGTGGTTGTTGGCAACTTGGCATGCATAATATCTTTACTGTATACAGGGGCTACATTGGGAAGCATCAGCTATAGGCTTATAGCATACTTTATCCCTCTAAATTCTGAAACAAAAAATGTATATCATGCCAAGAAATGGAGATACCATATCGAAGATATGCCTTTAACCAAGTAGGTTCCCCAAAATGGCCTTTTTATACTAATATTTAACCTAATGAAAAAGCTGCCTTAAAAGCAAACTTGAGTTGCATTTTTATCTGATGTTTTCCCACATACAAAAGGCTATTTTGGTCATTGTTGACAGACTTGAACTGGACCAGACACTCAGACCACCAGAACTGGGAATGTGCAGCCAAAACAGTATTTTGGTTATCCAGTTCTTAGAAATATTGACTTTGTCAAACTAAGCCTATTTTTATCATTTTGTGTTTAGTGTTAACATGCTTTATGTCCTCTATTTATTTTAAAGTTGTTTTGATGTAAAATGGCTTTAAAAATTATCTAGAACTATTTTCAAAATATTTTAATTTTTAAACTTTCAAAATTTTTATTTGAGAAAATCAAGTGGCTGAACCATTTGACCCACACCCAGTCACCAAATGTCTCTCACTGATCCACGTCTAATAACATTGATTCTGATTTCTAAGTTATTTCCAGTTTAGTTAATTGATTTCATGAGACCCCTTGCTGATAGAGTTGATCCTCGTGAGTTGATCATGGTTGAGTTGAGCAACTTTCTCCTAAGCAAGATTCCTACATTTATGACTTCTATGCAGTGTTTAGAAAACCAGTCTGGACCAGTTGAAGTGTGACCCAGAGCCCTGACACATTTGTCACACCCCAATAACCGTATTGGCTAAAAACCTGGTGAAAATCGGCTGGCTGGCTGGTTTAACCGGAAAACCGGTGAACCAGTGCCAGTTTCATGAAACCGCCTGGGCCATTAAATACTTGAATTTTAAAATATGTTTGACAAGATTTGAACCCATGACCTCTTGTTTTCATACACTGCTTAATTACCACTAATCCACCTCTTTACTTGTGCTATTTAATGGCTCTTTATTGTACATATATTTTAAAGAAAATGTAAATTAAGAGACTTGAGTTCTGGTCATTTGCTTTAAAAATTAGGGAATTGGCCATCCATCCTTAAAGTATGTTAAAAGTTGTAAAATATATTATTATATAGTATTTATATAACCTGTAGTATATACATATATGCCACATCATCACGGTTCGACCCCAGTTAACCTCTGACCCGTGAACCTTCCCTTCTCCGGTTCTATGCCCGGTCCGGTTCTCTTAACATTGCTTGTATGAGTATGAATTGTCTGAACAATTGGAGCCAAAAGACACATTGATTTTCTTGCAGATAGATATTGAATATAACAGAATTAATATCATTGGTGGCTCATAGATATTGAACATAACAGAATTAATATAATAATATCTGTTTTGCGAATCTGGAATAATACAACAATGAACTTTTTTGGAAACTGTACCTGTTTGAGGACCATGCTACCTTTGCTATGTTTTGGATGTACATGTCATGCTTCTGTATCCATTCATGTCTGTGGTCATAACAGATTCTTGGCATTCTTGATTTTGGTCGGGATGCTTGGATCCATCGGGAGGACTGGATTTGCAGTGGAGTTCACATAGGGAGTGGCAGAAAATACAAGGATTCCTTTTTTCTTCAGGCACAAGCAATGTGTTACATAAATTCCTGAAACACAACAGTGGCTGGCATTTGGCATTCCTGAAGATATACCAATTATTTCCTCAGCTGTCAGAGTAAGCATCATCAACTGACAATTCATCATCTTCAGAGTTGGGATCGTCTAGGTGGAATAATCAGTGTTAACATTCCAACTGAGGGTGGGCCTTGGTGCAATGCTTGGGTTGCTCCATTGCAACCTGGGTAACCAGTGTTCAAATCTTAGAAACAGCCTCTCTGTGTGTGCAGGGTAAGGCTGTGTACATCTGTCCCTCTCCAGACCCCACATTGGTGGGAGCCTCATGCACCGGGCTGCCCTTTTTATCCAACTGCCAGTTGTAGTTGCAAGAGATCATTGTTTTGGGCATTTGCCATATTTTTATTAGATTTGCAATAGCTATCATAGAAATCTTTGAGCAATTATATCATGATACTCTTAGATTTGCGAGCCAAGTTTCTTGGAAAATAAAAAATCTTTGAACCTCCTTGTTTGGTCATTAGCGTATAAAAACTTTGAACAGTCTTTTTTATTTAATGGCATGTTTGTTGGGAAAGGATCAGCCTTAAGGCACAGTCAAAACTCATGTTTGGGCTCTCAAGCTCTAGGTTGACATGACCCTCCACATTGACGTTATATTGCCAAACTTAATGGACAAGAAATTTTATCAAAAAAATGGAGAAGAGATTATCCTTTATCGATGTTGATTTGGGCATGTTCCATTTTTTATATACTCTACATCTACTTTTTGATATATACTCATCCATCTATCCCAACTTCATGTGGATGCTTTCCATATGTGATAGCTGATGTTAATCGTTTTTTTTTTTTATTTTGATCATTTTGGGGTTTTTTACTCCCATCTGAACTGAAAACCTAGCTTGTTGCTAGAGCTGTGGTGCTGTTGTAGATTTTCTGTTGCAAAAGGAATATGGATCACTGTAGCTATACCAGAAGAAATATTTTTTCAAGTTGGGTTTATAATTGCTTTTTGACTACAGTTCTGATGGTTGTGCATGATGAAAAAAGTTGACATGAGGACGTCAGAGACAATGATTAAGGAGGGATCATGGTTTATTCAAATTTCAAGATGAACCAGTTTTAGACTGATTCTCATGTTGGAAGGTATCATAATCAAAGTACTTGTCCCCCCCAACTCCTAATCCTTGTGTTACCTGAAATGTATGCTCCTTTTTTTTCTTGTTCTTTTATTTTTCCCCTGTTGGATACATTATGTAAGTCTACATGTTCAGACTATTATTTTACTTTTACATATTGCCACTCTCAATGAGGAGAAACTCTGGCAGGATGATCAATATAACCACTCTCGATGAGGAAATCCCCAGTTATGATTTCCTCTTGATGGAAGGATGATCAATATAACCACTCTCAATTAGAATAACCTTAATAGTTGCACCATGAGAAACTCTGGCAGCCAAACACTTACAGTAGAGGGACCAAAGATAACCAAATCGAACCGTCCAAGTTGGTGGTAGGTTTCTCTCTGTACCCTTTAGTGTGTTTGCTATGACAGACTATGAGGAGAAAATCCTGCATTGCTCTAGCCTAATGATTGCCTTTGGTTTTGTTTGTTTCAGACCTAGGTTAAAATAGCTATGAATAAGGTATAAATACATATGAAACACATACTTCAATATTTTACATGAAGTATATAACAATCAACATAGGAACATGTAGATATCGTAAAATTGCTAAAATTCCATCTTCTATATACTTTACTACTAATGACATACTATATAGTCTTTATAAATTACTAAACAGATTTAAACAAATAACATGCATAAAACCATTAATATGTTATTATTTATTTAATTAAATTATCAATTAATTGTTACTAAAATATATAATTAATCCAAAAATATATTAGATCAAAGATCCGTAAGTCCAAGAGCCCAAGACACAAATCATATGTAACTATTGTATTTCAATCATTTAATTGATTATTCTATTTTTTTACTTTTACATATTGCCAAAAAAAGTCAACTTAATCTTATTTTCTTAGGTTACGTTTGGCAATTGACATGCAAATTCAGCAACTTATTGGACATTTTAGAAAGTTCAATTCAAGAAGGCATGACTCAAAAGTCGGAAAAAGGCATTTGGTAATATCCTTAGCATGTAGATCAAACTCAAACTTCAAAGTTCATCTAGATATATTTATTAAATCAAAGTATGTTTTGCATGCACATGTATAGTGAATAAGTTAAAACTTTTCATGAAATGTTTGAAAGTACCCTCCAATCCTGATTTAGTAATTACACAGATAGGGTGAGATAAAGATTCTCCTAGAAAACCACAAATTGCTAATTGATGGAAACCCTATGCATAAAGAAATGATTCTTTTTGAAGGTTCATTAAGCGATGGATTTCTTTTTCAGATTCAACAGTCCCTTGTTTTTCCATCGTGTGGACCGTGTCCATCATAGTGAATGYTACATTATAATGATAATTCTTAATAAGACAACCCCAATTAACAATTTCCAGTGAATGAAATCAACTTGATCAGTCTAACCTAGATAACATTGGGTTATTCTAATACTTCAGAGAGCTTTAAAGAAACCAGCAGCCCATTTTAATTCAACTTTATATCTCCGTTGTAGGATTTGTAGGATAGCTTGGGAACTTGGGGTGTTTTTGTAGGAGTTGGAGCCTGGATGAAGAGCCTACAACGTCATGCAGATGGAGAAAACGGTTGATGCTTAAGACTGAGCTTTAATATCTTGGCTTCTTCTTCCACAGTTTATAGCAAGGTCTTAACCGGAGTCTGGATGGTAGAGTAAGGTCTCAATGGACCAACTGTCGGCAGTTAATCACTCTTGGCAAGTGAATGAGTTTGTAAGCTTTCAAAGTTCCCATCTTGAGTTCAACCATGAGGTAATCATTTGTGGTGTCTGGTTGTGGACCTTTCTTGTACATGATTTGAAATCGCTGGAGTGGAAGATAGTTGTTGGGACCTGGGAGAGAAGTTTCACCAAAAAATGCCGTGTAAACGTGGGAGGGGAGCACCAACAGTCTACCGGAAAAGAAGTAGGATTTCAAAATGTTAGAGAAAAAAAAAGTAGGTTGCTTAATTAAGGGGCAATCTCACCTTTTAAAATATAATGAGAGCAAACTTGGAAGAAATCCTTTACCTAAAACACTGATTGTTGAAAGAATAAGGAGTTGATAGAGTTCCTTATCCTAGATTTTCAACTTTTTTTTGTCTCAAAAGGGCCAAAGGAGAAAAAGGACGTATAACCTAATTACAATTTACGAACACAACCTCAATATACTTGCTTATGGTTACATAACTTTTTAAAACTTGCTAATGTACAATAAATTAATTTGTAAAATAATTACTGTTTTGTTATTTTTATTTTTGTAATTTACAAAATTTAAAAATATTTTTTTGACATAAGTTGTTGAATGGAGCAGATTTGATAAACCATTCATGGAACCATCTTATAGTTCTTTCCTAAAAAGCATCACAGATCTAAACATCTCAAACACGGAATATGTAGATCTACTGAATATTGAAGGATTAAATGAAAAAATGTGCATTTTTCTTGATTCCAATGACTTTGCTTCCTTTCTAGTGCAAAATACCAAGTGTTTTTAGTAAATAGGAGCCCTCCCAAAGGCGTTTCAGATGGAGAGGAAAATCTGGAAATGAAATTTTGTTGGAAAAGAGAAATTTGACGAACATAAATCGTTTTGCTAGTGTGTGATCCATATCCACTTCTATCTAGCAGTGTCAATTGGACCGGATTTGGTCCAATATGAGTTCATTACAAATGGATCAGGTTTAACCCAATCTGATGAATATTCTGGACCATTTTGGACCAGTCCAATTCAATGTCTGGATCATTCAATCTGTTCAAATTGACTTTAACTTAGACTTGTTCCAACCCAAACCTGGTCAATTGACATGACGACCTGTATTTGATATTTTATACAATATTTCAAATGCTAGCGATAAAAGCAGAAAGGGTTAGGGCTAGGGGTGGATTTGAGCCCAGTCGAGCCAAATATTTGGCTATTCAAGTTTGGCTCACCAAAAAAATGTTAGGCTCGATATTCAAGCTAGAGATTTGAGCTTGAATTTGGCTCGGCTCAAAAGCTCATATGTTTGAGTTCGATTATGAGCCAAGCTTCATTTAAAAATAAAAATTATATATATAAAAAATATTTTTTAGTTTACATACAAAAAATTAAGATTTACCAAAAAAATATTTATTATCATACATATAAAACATAAAAAATATTATATATATAATCTTTATTATTATACATAAAAAATAAATATCATATATGTGTGTGTGTTAGGCTCAATTAGGCTTGTGAGTCTCATAACTTGAGTCTTATTGGGCTTGAGTTTGGCTTGATTAGCAAATGAGCATATATATTAAGTTTAAGCTCAGCTCGAAGCCTAATTTAAACCAAGCCAAATCGAGCTTTTCACGAGACGAACTCAAATGGCTCATGAAAAACTCGATTTGTTTCCACTCTTACGTGCTTGTGCAAATTTGTAGAAGAGAAAAATGGAGAAGGTGAGGAGTGGGCTAAGGTTTGGGTATATTGTCAAAAAATAAAATAAATATGTTTAATGATAATTCACGAGAGACAATAATTTTGGAACAGATGGATGAGTCTTGTTGGATTTCCCACAAAGTTACAACTTAGAGTTTATTAGACTCTTTTTGACAGAATGGTCCACACCCCTAGTCCCCTATTATTACTCATCGTCAAAATGTGTGTTTCATAAGACAGCAGTACTGTTATGTATTTTTTTTTTCTAAAAACTTCAATAACAAACTAGCAGCTTTTTTGGTAGCCTAATAAAAAACAGCTTAGGATAATTAGTTTCTTCCTAATTTCTTAATTACTATTTAGCCCATCTTGTTTGGTAGTGTCAAAATATACCTACTTTTATTGATAAGTTTTATAGGGAAAAATGTTTACTTAAATGACTAATGACTAATATCATGCTATTGATCAATGGCAAAATTGACCATACAAGGTGTGGNTCTGGGGGCATATGGCTGACATGGGCTGTGAAATTGAACATGTGGCAAATCAAATGAGTTTTCAGTATTTGATGGACAATGTGGATCAGCCAAAAGAACCCTCAACATAGTAGAAACAACTCAGTGCATTTAGGGAAACTCCCTACTTGACTTGACTACTAAGCCTGTTTGGGTTAATTACACCTGTGATTTTGTTTGGGATTCTAGTAAATCTAATTTGGCGTTTCTTAGAAATTAAATCAAGTTTAATTTGTAAAGGATGGTTTATTTCATCTAAAAATAATGGGACCGTTGAAAGTTTTTAGAGTGAGTTTTTTATTTAAATTATGAAATTAAATTAGAAGTAAATACTTTTTTAATAGTTAGTCATATGTTTGAAATGAGTATTTCTYTTGAGAGTGGAGTTAATCAATTCCACTTTTTTTAAGAGTCAAAAAAACCACTCTTTAGATATTCTTTTTCTAATAGATAAATTAAATCAAGTCACAAAAAAAAACACTTTTTTTAATAGATAAACATTTTATTATATATATTAGACTTGTAAAATAAAAAAATATATATATAAGTTATTTATACCTCTTCTTCCATTTTGGTCAAATCAATACTGCAAGACTTTAGACTCGACTTAAAATTAAAACGCTCAATGAGTCACAATTTTACTAGTTAAACGGCCGATTAGCCCATTCAGCTCATGAAAGACCCTCATTGGGACACAAAAAGCTACCATTCCCAGTTTATACAATCCGACTGTTCCTCCGATCCAAGTCTTGCAACATTGGATCAAATTAGGTTCACCGTTATAATAAATTAGGGTCCACTTGGTTCATAGTTGGAATTGGAATTGGAATGGTTTATTCTCATAGTCATTTTAGTTCAAACAGGAATTGGAATGAGAAATGAAATAAGCAAGAATAAGATTTCATTCCCAAGGAAGGGGCAAGGAATGGCCATTCCTTCAAATAGGGGAATGCCATTCCAACAGGAATGGGAATGGGGTTCCGGTTTTGCCCAATTAAACAGTTGAAATCGGAATAGTTCATTCCAATTCCAAACCCCTATTCCCACGAGCCAAACGGGGCCTTAAAGTTGTAGCTTTACTTTTGAGTTATTGATATAAAGGGCAAACTTGGAAAATATCAATTTCAGAAAAATGGATGAAAGGGTTTGGACAGGCATTCATATGAGGAAAAAAAATGGAAAATAAACATTTTGGTCAAAAGTAACTAATGTTTTCAAACCATCGTTGACCTGGATGATCAAAACCGTTCAGACCAGAAACTATCCAAGCAACCGGTTCCGTTTTACCCCAAACCCGATCCCTAGTCAAAAACCATTGAATTTGTCAACAAACCGTTGACTTGAATGGTTTGACCGTTGAACCATTCGACATGGAGAATGGGTCGTGGTTTATTACTTATGACAAGTTACGACAAGAATGAAAAGAGAGAAAATCTCTTAGATCTGAGATCTACTAGAGTGAGAGATCAATTGAGAGTTGTGTGAGAGAGGTCTAAGAGATCTCATGTTTAGAGATTTGGGAGAACAGTCTAGAGTCTCTAGACACAAGAGAGAGAGAGAGAGAGAGTGAGTGAGATCTGATAGAAATCTCATATCTACTTTCATCGCTAGTTCGCCACCATCGTCGTCGTTGTTGCCGTTGTAGTTCGTCAAACGCATCGCTATCATCGTCGCCACTACAGCCTGCAAGTGATACTTATATGCATCTTAGCCTAATATTCCAATCTAATGGATAAGATAACATATCACTTGTTTAAAGTACTTAAACTGTTCAAACCGTTTGACCCAAACAGTCACACCACTRACCCGAAACCGGTGGCCAAAACGGTTTCGTTTCCAAGTCGGTTTTAAAAACCCTGCTTGCAACTATGTTAAAAAAGTTTATGGGATGTGATTGCGATTACCAAACTTCAAGGAGGTTTTAGCAATTTACCTAGTAGGTATTTTGCAAATGCCTTAACATAAATTATGATGAAAGTATGACTATTAATGGGTCGGGTCTAGGCTAGGTCTAGGTAGAACTGGATCCAACTCAATAAGAAATACCAAGGACCTGAAACAAAATTAATCGATTCTTGGGACAATTGGGTCTAGGTTTTAGCAATTTACCCTGACTAGAACCAACCCAATCGGTTCGGGTCCATCGAGTCCACTCCAACCCGTTGATAGCCCTAGATGAAAGGTTAATTAGTCAAAACATCATTCATGATTTGAATAAATGTTTTCAACCCACCATTGACTTGGTTTGGCGAACCGTTCAAACCATTACCCGACCGGGATTTTGAGTCTGGTTCAATTAAGACCCGTCAAACATTCAAAACTGTTTGACTTGGCTGGTTCAATTGTTGACCTGTTCGACCTGTTGATCGGGTTGCTTGTTGCATACTGAATACATGCAAACTTTCGGAGGCCATAACTTTGCACTCCGATATCTGATTAGGATGATTTTTTTATTTTGGATAACTTTTCAAGATCTATGCATCCTAAGGTCTGTAGGCACCTTGCCCCACTATTTTTGCAGAAAAAAAAATATTTTTTTTGCCTCAAATTATAATTTTTAGTATTTTTAAAAATAAAAAATAAAAAATATATTAAATATAAAATAATACATATAACATATCTAAAACATATTTATACATTATTCATTGCTAAAATATATACATACACACACTTAATATATATATATATATATATATACACGCTGACCTGGCCGATAGAACCGATGACCTGCAATCCGAGTTGGTTTTTAAAGCATTGATTTGAATAATTGCAAAATAATAGAAAAGGACATGGTTAATGCGTAAACTATACCGACCCATTGACATTCCTGTTCATGGGGTAATCTGCCTCCGGCCTCCATTTCATTCTTATTTGCGTTGCATTCTCTGTACAGTCTACATTTTATTTGGCTAAACAGAGCAACGCCATCTTCATCGTCGGTGGCCCACGAACCAGCGATTGATGTGCCTTCGGTTAAGCGTTGTGTGCCACTTGGTGGCTTTCATTATTAACGAGCAGCTTTCACCTCAGTGAAACCAAATGGAATCTATCACTCTTCCAATTATTACTTTCGAAGAAGCAGATAACCAGTAAAAATGGCGAACCAGTCCATGAGGCGCTTCCTCCATGAGCCGATGAGTCTTCTTGAGCATTCCCAGAATTATGTTTAAGTTGTCAATTTTTCATTACATTGTTCTAGACTTCTAGTAGGCATAAATGAAAACTTTGGAGTTGGTCAGAAATGAATTAGATCCCACATCGGAAACATGAGAAAGGGTGAAGGAGAAGAGCCAACTATAAGTAAAAGGTAGTGGCTTAATTTCCGACTTAAAAGGGTCGGTTGGCTAAATATGCCACTCTCGCCTCCCAATTGGTGAGTGCTGTATGGCTATCAAGACATATGGCCGACATAATTTGTGAAACCTCAAAGGGTTGGCTCGCTCGGCCGACCCTCCAACGTTCCTCTTTAACTTTTTTCTCTTRACATCTCCATATGATATGAGCCCTATAACGACGCTAATTAGCCGTTTGAGAAAATGCTCCACAGTCAGGGAATTGGAGTCGATATATGCCTCCATGATCAAGAATAAGGTCCATCAAGACTGTTTCTCTATAAATCAATTTGTTTCTGCCTGTTCGAACTTAGATCGAATGGATTACGCTTTGTTAGCTTTTTCCCATGTGGAAACTCCTAATGTTTTCGTTTACAATGCCGTGATTAGAGGCTCTGTTCAGTGTTCTTCTTCATTTCAAGCTCTCCAATTTTACTTGGAAATGCTTAAAGATGATGGAGTATTCCCTACAAGTTTTACGTTTTCATCTATAGTTAAGGCTTGTACTCAAGTATCTGAGGTGGGGTTTGGTGAAATTGTTCATGGTCAGATTTGGAAGAATGGTTTTGAATCCCATTTATTTGTTCAGACTGCTTTGATTGATTTTTACTCAAATTTGGGGAGAATTCTTGAGGCTCGGAGGGTGTTTGAGGATATGCCGGAAAGAGATATCTTTTCATGGACTACGATGATTTCAGCTCATACCCGGATGGGAGACTTGAACTCTGCGCAGAGATTGTTTGAAGAGATGCCGGAAAGGAAGACGGCATCTTGGAATACTATGATTGCGGGTTATGCAAGGATAGGGAATGTAAAATCTGCCACAGAATTATTCAATCAGATGCCCAAAAGGGATTTAATCACATGGACGACCATGATCTCTTGTTATTCTCAAAACAAGCAATATGGGGAAGCAGTAGGAGTCTTCCAAGAGATGAAGACTGCAGGGGTCCGACCTGATGAGGTGACAATGTCCGCTGTTATTTCAGCTTGTGCCCATCTAGGAGCTCTTGAATTGGGAAAAGAGATATACCTTTATGTGATGCAAAATGGGTTTGATCTGGATGTTTATATTGGATCTTCATTGATTGATATGTTTGCAAAGTCTGGGAGCTTAGATAGATCGCTTGTGGTGTTTTTCAAAATGCAAGAGAAGAATCTATTCTGCTGGAATTCGGTGATTGAGGGGCTCGCTGTACATGGTTACGCAGAGGAAGCACTGCTCATGTTTGATAGGATGGAGAGAGAGAAGATTATGCCAAACAGGGTGACTTTTATTAGTCTACTCAGTGCTTGTACTCATGGTGGACTAGTTGACGAAGGTCGTAGGAAGTTTCTGAGCATGTCTCAGAATTACTCCATTTGTCCTGAAATTGAACACTATGGATGCATGGTTGATCTCCTAGGTCGAGCTGGCCTGCTTGAAGAAGCGCTTGAATTGATACAAGGCATGAGTGTTGAACCAAACTCTGTCATTTGGGGGGCCATTTTAAGTGGGTGCAAGCTTCATAGGAACTTGGAAATAGCTCGAGTTGCTGTGAATAGATTGATGGTGTTAGAGCCAGAAAATAGTGGATACTACCTACTTCTGATTAACATGTATGCTGAAACCAATCAGTGGAGCGAGGTTGCAAAGATTAGGACAATCATGAATGAACGAAGAGTACAAAAGAAGAGTCCTGGATCCAGTTGGATTGAAATAGAAGGAAAGGTTCATGAATTTGTAGCTTCCGACAGCTCTCACCCTGCATCTAGTGACATTTACAGGCTGTTGATTGAGCTATATGGGCAGCTAAGACTTGCAGGCTATGTACCTGAATTTGGATTTACGCCTTAGTTGTGGATTTATCGATTTGAATTTGTTGGCCCGCCAGAAAAGATTAATTTACCAAAAGCAGGTTAATTTATTCAGTCTGGTTATGGTCTACCACACATTTTTTCAGCATTTAAGATACAATGAGTTAAATCAAGTGGCATATTTTACAGTAGCTCTTCCCTTTAAAACAGGGAAATAGAATGGCTAAGGAGATGTAAATGAGTTGAAAACAAACGGCCAAACTTTGGGGAATTTTAAGAAAATGTTCTACTTTCCAAGGAGGTTATGAGAATGAACAAGGAGATAACAATGTGCTGAAATTAAATGCCCAATATTCGAATATTTTGCACTAAAACATCGCCCTTTTGTAACCGGGAAAGAAAATTAGTTGAGCATTCTGTACACTTTGCTGAATACAAACTGTGACATGTTCCATTGTTCCTAGAACTTATTTGAATCCTTTCACCATCATGGATCAAATAACTTTAAGCGGAAGTCCTCAAAATGCTCTCTTTATCTGGGAACAACAGATTGGATCGATCATAAATTGAAGCTGGGTACTTGGTGCTTAGGCACAGGAGGAATTGATTGCTGGAAGCCATCCACAGCAGATGGATTGAGCTTAGCACTGGAGTTAACCATTGCATCTATCATTATTACCGAGAGTGATTATCAAAACATCACACAGCTTGTGTGCTCCATGAAGGATTCCATGGATCCCCCCTTGGCGATCAATACAAAGTTGCTGATTGCAGAAGAGTAACAAAAATTTTCTTCCACCTCGGCAGTCCATGTTCACACGCAGAGCTACAATACGGCCGCTGATAAATTTGCAAAAGTAGAACTCAGTGCCTACTGATTTTCTTGGCTCCTACCTTATGGAGGCTCTTTGGGACTTGAGAGTATCCGAAATCCAAACCAAAAGAATCTGGGACTCGGATACACTTCAATTTGAAACTCAGTATTCAGTAAGCTTGTGTATAACTAATATATGTCTACAGAATCAAACACAAAATAAGAATATATGCTCCAAATAGCATACCATTCAAAAACAAATTCCAAGGTATTATTTCGCGACCCTGTAGTGGTCTTTAGCCTTTTAATGGTGTGGTTGATTCTCTAGCAAATCTATGGGAGCATATGATTTGGTTTCTTTCCAGTTTTGATTACACTTCTGGGAAGGCTCTGTTATTTAGTTACCAAACGTACATGAGAGTTTAATTCATTTGTTAATTTATATCGGCAGCAACTGCCTCTATGCAAGCAAATCTGCGCTAAAGCATACAATCAAAACAATCTACACCATTCTTCAATGTGAGATTGAATGTTGAAACCGAGTTCTTGTCACATCAGTAATTGTCAAACCCTGTTACAAACACCCCGTTAGTTCTCCTTTATCTGACCACAATCTTCTATCACAACTCTTTCTGAAGTCGTCCCACTCTCCGAACCCACATTCTCCATTGCCTTAACCACGCTGTAACCCTCCAAGACCTTCCCAAAGACCACATGCCTTCCATCAAGCCATGGTGTCTTCTCAGTGCAAATAAAGAACTGAGAACCATTCGTGTTGGGTCCAGCATTCGCCATCGACAGGATGCCCGGCCCTGTGTGCTTCATCTTGAAGTTCTCATCTGCAAACTTCAGTCCATAGATCGATTCTCCACCGGTCCCGTTACCCCTTGTGAAATCCCCGCCTTGGCACATGAAGTTTGGGATAATGCGGTGGAAGGTTGAGCCTTTGTAATGAAGTGGTTTTCCTGATATTCCAATCCCCTTCTCACCCGTACAGAGGCATCGGAAATTCTCTGCAGTTTTAGGGGTCACATCTGCAAATAGTTCCATCACAACCCGCCCGGCTTTCATCTTTCCGATAAGAATGTCAAAGAAAACTTTTGGGTTCGACATGGGTTTGCTTCAACCAATTATATCTGTATAAATAAAGCAATGTTACTATCAGGGAGGTAGATTTTCAATCATTGTTATCAGTAGTATAGAAACCATAAAATTCCATTTGCTATTCTGTTAAACATTCTAAGACGCAGATCATGGTTGAAGATTTTGCCCATATAGAAACCGAGTGAAAAGCCAGAGGTTGGTCAATGGGGAGGGATTAGGGAAGAAATGTCCGTCTTCTTTGGATAAAATCCTCCAGCGAAAAACTAGAAAACATTGCATCCAGAGGATATCGACAGAGAAAGACGATTTAAGGTCTAGCACAATTTTTGAGCTCAACAGGCTTTGATAGAATCACCTGCAAGCCTTCGATATGTGCTCTCTGATTCTTTTTCAGTAAGAAATAAGATTTTTATACATGAATACAAGCCGACAAACTCTTCACCATAGAAAAAGAGAAAAAACAATTCAAAACAATCAGAGAAAATTAGGTTTTTTGAAGATGTACTCAACCCACAAACAGAGAATAAGAAAAAACTTCAAAAAGAAAACAGATTTTACGACGCAAGGCTCGATCTTAAAAATTTTATAGAACCAGTAGCATTTCTGAATGCATAGGAACATTATATCTATAAATTCGAGAAATATAAAAGAATGACACAACTTAGAATTTGGACGAGAAGGCTTACCTTCGTCAAGAGATTTGAGATGCTTGGAGACGGATAAAGTCGGGTGATGTACTTATAAGCTCGCTCGGTAGAATATAAGCTTAGGGTTTTAAGGTATTAGGGTTTTGGTCAAGAACTATTTATTATCGTCGTTCTTTAATTTACAAAAATATCCCTCGCTTTGGAAATAAACCACTGAAGCGACCAAGGAAATAGGTGAACCCAAAACCACTGAGAAACGACCAAGGAATAGTGATCTTCGATCAAGTTTATATTTCATACCGTGAAGAATTATTCTATATATAATCTAAAAGAAAAAGGCTATACGGCCAATGAATTTACCAAAATATAATTTTTTTTATATAAGAAAATCTTATAATCTTTTTCTTTTCATGTTTTTAACCATTATCATTATAAATTTAATTAATCATAATGATATCATTGAATACAACAAAAATACAATCATATTTTTTTATTTTCCTGTTTTATATTTGATACTAAATATGTAATTATTTACAATAGTTCTACTATTAACTATTTATAATGATGCCACTAAATTTCTACATTTTCTATATTTATTAAAATTTGTCTTTATCTCTCACTTTCTTTACAATTGGGCCATGTTGAGCCATACTGTGTGGACCGTGCTTCCCTCCTTTGGGATATTTTAGGGGGTCTGCCTGGCATAGCCCTTGGCCCAAGCGGCCGAGCCTGTACAGGCCTGTATCGTGTCACGGGCTAGGCTGGTTCGTGGGCCAAGTTGGGCCACAAACTATGCTAATCCATGTTTTTAAAAAAGAAAGTTGAGAAAATAATGAAAAAGTTAATATAAATTCAAAAATAAAAAAAAATATATCTTAAACTTTTATTTTATATGAATTTTGATGTATACAATTATTTATATATGCAATAATAAAATGAAATAATATAATAAAATTGAAAATAAAATTATATATTATATAATTATTGTATATAATATATAGCCCGAGCCTGCGTGAGTCCGTTCCGTGTCACGGGCCAAGTCTTAGGCCAGGCTAGGCTACGAACCAGGCTAAGCCATGTTTTTTAAAATTTTTGAATTTTAGCCCGAGCCCACATGAGCCTATGTCGTGCTGCAGACTGGGCTGGTCTGCGAGCCAAGTCGGTTCGGGCCACGAACCGGGCTAAACCTGTTCATGGGCTCAGTAGCTCAATAGTTTAGCCAGACCCATTAACAACACTAAAGTAATTAATTAGTTAATTAATTTGAAATAGCATTTACYAGTCTTGTATTAATAATACATAAATATTTATTTATTTATTTACTTGTTTTACTAAATTATTTAATTAGTTAATAATTTAATGATCTAACAAATTATTATTGCTAGTAAAGTAAGACATAGAATCATGTATATATTTACTCTCTCACTTGATTATCTATTTATCTCATTTATTTTGCTAAATTTATTTATTTATTAAATTCAATTAACTATTATTTAACTATCTACAATTGTTCCACTATATAAAACAAAAATACAATGACAAAAGTCATCTCTCCCTCTTTCACTTTATTGCCTAATGGCTATGATTATTTATTGTTTTATTTTATTAGACTAGATATATTATTATCCATAAATTTTTAGGGGTTTTATCGTTTATTATACCTCGTAAATCTTAGCCCCACTGTACAAGTGGGATAAATCCTGACCGTGGATCGATGCCAAATCCACAAAGATTATACGGTTTATATAGGGGGGCTACTAGTAGACTATGAGGGGACTGTAATTTCAGATTTATAAGATGGAGTGCAATTTACTTATCCCAACTTTTTATTTATTTTAAATAGATATTTCAGATTTCTGAGGTCGAGATCGGTTCCAAGGCCAATAACAATTATATGGTTTACCCACAAAACATATTCCTATACAAATATTAATATATTGCTTGCTATATTTTATTTTTACCATCCAAAGCCTTGACCTTGGATGACAATATATTGTAAACATTTTACATTTCAAATCCATATAGTCATTTAATTTCAACAAATAAAACACAACCCACAAACAACCTAGATAACATCACATAGTCATTAGTAATCTATTGTGCTTTAAATAATTATATATTGACAATACTATGATGGAGTGTATAACTTTGTTATCATTAAATGTCAAGTTATGCTTATAGTAAATGTATGCTATACAAATATACTACTTAGCTTAATATGGTAATACATATTAATTATTAAATTATGCTAATGTACAATGGAGAATTACTAATATAACATAGTTACATATAGAATTATCAAGTTTACTCGATAATAATAATTAAAATATGTATGTTAATTGAGTAATTTTAATGTGTAGATTATTATAATATATAGTTCAAAATTTATCATTATAATTTAAGTTTTGTAAATATTACATATATTCATTTACATTACTTATTATATACATATGAATATTAATTACTGCTATTAAAAGTGTGAATGAGAGTGTGGAATTTTTGTTTGACTAAAATACCCAATTTTTTAAAATTTGGTCCATCATTCATTGTAATGACATAAATGTAATTTGAACAACTAATTTTCTCCTTATTCAAATCCTTCTAATTAAGTCACGTGTTTAAGGTATTAACTCCCATTAACATTCATGGAATAATATTATTGATTAGAATACCCTTATTTTTGAATTTGGTCYCTCCAATTGTGAATGTGTAAAATGTAATTTGAACTACATTTGTCCTCATGCAATTCCCTCTCATTAAGTCTTGTATTTAGGGCATTAATTCCCATTTCCATTGACTCTTATATTATTTGGTCATATTAAAAAAATAAGTGTCACAATGAATAATTGTTTTTATTGATGTATAAATAAAATACAAATTTAAAACTAACAAAAAATTAATTATTTCCTATTTGATAACAAGTCAATAATTCAACCTGTTATGTTAAATGTGTAAATAATAATAACAATAGATGAAAACAAACAAAGTATAAAAAATATAAGAAAATTATAAAAAAACACTTGGTTCTAAGGTTGGGTAAATTTGGTTTCACCAAGGCCCTAGTTAAACTAATGTCAATTAAGTAATTTGTACCAAAGCCAATCAAACATGGATCTCTGTGTTGGTTCAGGTAGGATAAGCTCTCAAACATTGGAAATGGCTTGGATGGGAGATGGTTCCAAGAACATGGAATTGGGACCTACTTGATAATCTAAGGGAAGAGCTGACCCATTTACTCACTCTTGATCTCTATTATCATATGTTCCTCATATTAAATAAAAGGGTTCCACTATGAAGTTGGCAATCGGGTGGGTTTTAAATTCTTGGAGGGCTGTGATTGGTCAAAGCCTATTCGGTATCATGTCTTCAAAGCATCATAATTTTTTTCCATGAATAATAATAGAGAAATCTTAAAATATAAATAATTATATACATATAAAAATATAAAATAATGTAAATTATTATAATTATTATTATTATCATCATCATTAAAATTGCTACATACAAAAATAAGTACATGTAAGCATTAGTTTTTAGCGATTAAGAACTTGAAAAGGAAAAATAGAATATTCAAGCTTGATGATCCGACTAAAAACTGATGCAAATACTACGAGATGCAACAACAAGATAACTCTCTCATTGGCTCCTCCCACACACAACGTCAATTGGTTTTGCCACCACCCATTTTAAACATTTATTTATTAATTAAAGGGAAAATTCCTCTTTAGTACCCTAAACTTCRGGGGTAGTGTCAAGTTAGTACCCAAACTTTCAAATGCGTCACTGCAATAGCTAAATTTTCAAAAAGTGTCAAGTTGGTCCTTGTCGTTAACCATCCGTCAGTTATATGTCGAAAATGTCAAGACTACCCTTCAAAAGAAGACATCGTTCGTTGTTTTCTACTTTGAAACTGAACYGGTTGAGGTGTTTGAGATTCTAGACTAATAAAGAGGGTGTTTATTAAATAAATGCTGCCATATAGGTGCCACTTCAACATTTCCCCTATTATGTGAATCCGTACACATGGGGATTTGCAAATGTAGGCTTTGGTTTATGTGCATGCCTATCATTGGGAAAAACTTAATTTTAGCACTTCCCCCAATGGGTAGGCGTTTATTCACTATTTGATGTGGTGCCTAATGGCACCTAAGTGTCRATAAACAGGTTTATTGTTGCTTTTCTCAGTTTATCAAACAAATAAAGTACAAAATGTTTAGTCAATAAACATACATGGTTCCAAACACATACAAAGTCATTGTCTCCTACCTTTAGATTTGAAACATATTATTGTCTAGTTTTTTCTTTGTTTTCAGTTACTGTCTCCTTTTATCATATTTCATGCTTTTTCTTGCTTTTTCTTTGAATATAACCAGTTCAGTCTCAAGGTAGAAGATAATGAACAGARTTTTATCCATGGTGACAGAGTTCATGATGTGATAATCACGGGTGGTTTCTGATTTCTACAACTGCTTTTTTTCTACTTGCTTTTACTACATGTGTCATTACCTGAAAAATATTCTCTTGTATGTGTCATTCCAAACTAGTGGTGTGAAAATCAGATTATATATTAGCATTGGATTGAAAATGTCTGAACCCTGTCGGATTTCTCCAGATTCCGAAACCACATTACGTTGAAAACTGCCCGGAACTGTTGAGAAGGACCAAACCAATAAGACCACTTAACCACCTGATTTGGTGATGATATTTTCTGATTGATATTTTGTTGTATCTTTACCATGTTTTTAAAGAAAATATAATTTGAAGTGTGATGAATTTTGTCAGAACCAGACCATTCATAGAGCTGCAAATGGGAGCTTGGATATCCTGAAAGCAAAAGCTCTGAGAACACAGAGGGGAAGAAGAAAACGAAGAAAAAAAAAAAGAAAGAAAGAAAGAGGAAGAAGAAGGAATAGAGAGAGAGAAGAAGCCAGACGAGGGGGGTATATCCCAATTAGCCACTTTAACGAGTTGTGGCAGCTATGGCCAAGAGTAACGGAAAACAGAGGAAAGCGGGAGGAGAGAAAGGGGATGGAGAGGAAGAGAGATCAGGGGGAGAGAAASGGAGAGATCGGGAAAGATGAACAGTGTTTTYTCGTAATTGTCCAAATAATTATTACTAGGATAGCATGGGGATTAAAAAATATTTCAATGGTAGATTTCAACAGAAGTGATGGGATTCAGTCACYGTAAGACCCGTTCAAACAACCATCATAGCCTTGCATTGAGAATATTTCCCTATGAAATAAAACATAAAAKTACAGAAATGTTTCGCGGAAAAGCTGTTCGAATAGTGTTTGAACAAGCCTTGCAATGACTGAAACCAATCTTCAACAGAAAATTAACAAAAGGAGGTCTTTGTCTCACGGTCACAGTATAAGGGGGTTTTTGTCCCAAAACAAAGTATAGGAGGTTCTTATTATTATTATTATTTTTTACAGTTTGTACTTTGTATTAAAATCGGATATATCTGATCTTTTTCGGTTCGGATTCCGAGGCACCCTTCCGAATTTGATCCGATCCTTATGCAGCCCTATCTCAAAAGCCTCGGCTATCAACCTCTTATGTGGTTGTGATGGTCAAAATTGTACTGTAAATCACTAATTTTGGTGTTTTTTAAGCTGGCAAATGAATCAAACGGTCTGCACTCTGACACGTAAGCGAAAATAGTAAAAGGCAACACTGAAACCAAATATGGAACAAATTTTTCCGCAGGCAGCCTGGGACAATTACCGCCAAAAAAAAAAAAAAACTCAAACAGAGGAAACGGTTAAAAGCGCGGGAAAAAAGCTTACTCATTTTGCACGGTTAAACATTTAAAAAGGCCATCCTGGCCAATGACCTTCGTGGTAAGAGATTCACGAGAAAATCAACAACAAATCCGACGGCTCGGATTTATAGTTCTATAACATTTACGATCTTAATTTACCGAGCTTTCGCCCCAGAAAAAGTGGAAAAACAGAAGAAAACCGGGAAATTGAACAAAGCCCCCTCTTCTCTTCGCGCCAAAATTCGCTTTGCTATTAAATACAAAGCCAGACAACCTCGATTATCTATCATTCCCTCGGTTTGTTTCTCYAAAACTTGATTTTTCTCTTTTTTCATCTTCTTCGTCTCTCTGTTTCAATCGCCTCTCTGTTTATATTTTGTAGGAGGCATCTCGTAGTTCAGCTAATACTAGTTAGGGAGATCGGTTTTCTTGTGGCCGCTAACTTCGAAGGTTCCGTCTTTCCTAATACTAGTTAGGGAGATGGCGATGGTAGTCGCCGGAGAAAAGGAGTACATTGCAACAGTTAGATCAATCGTCGGAGATAATGTGCTGGAATCTGATATTCTCCGTGCTCTTTCAGTCTGCGGCAACAGCGTAAATGCAGCCATTAAGGTCATTCTCAATACGCCGGGGTTTATCGCACCTTCTATTACTGTAAAGCGGACTCTCACTATCACTGGAGCTCGGATTTCTACCCAGATAAAGCAAGAGGGATCTGAAGATTCCAGCCAAGATGATCCTGTTAAAGGGTTGGATCCCAAGATTAGAGTGAAGGAGGAGAATCTCGATATGGTTCTTGCAAGTGAATCGTCAACAGAAATTGTCCCTGCTAAGGGGTTGGAGTTGGCGACAAGAGTAAAGGAGGAGAAACCTGATATGGGTTTCGAGAATGAAGTGCATATGAAAGCGGACCCTGTTAAGGAGTTGGGGGTGATGATCAGAGTAAATGAGGAACCTGATATGGGTTCCCAAAATGAGGCACCGATGGAAGTCGATCCTGTCAAGGTGTCGGAAGCGATACTAGTAGTAAAAGAAGAGAAACCTGATACAAGTTTCGAAAATAAGGTATCAGTAAAGGAAGAAACAGCGACGTCGGACATGGCTCYGGCGTTGGTACCGAAAGGGGATGTTATCATAATTAAAGATGAGGAACTCGATATGGGTCTTCAGGATAAAGCCTCCATGAAGAAAGAGCCAGTGCGTGCCCATCGAGTTGAACCAGTGATACCCAGGAAAGAAACATCAGCAAATACCCGCCTTCCTGCTCATCCTCGTCCATTCCAGGGWRGTAAAGTGAAGAAAGAAATGATAGTTTCAGTTCCAGTGGAGGATGGGGAGTTTCCCGAAGAGCCAGATTGGTTTTTGGTGGGAAGGACTACTGTGGTGGGTCTCTCAACGTGCAAAGGGAGGAAACTGCAGTTCAATGAGATAGTCCATTTTGCATTTCCTTCTGACAGAAGGAATTACGAGAGGCAATGGGTTAGCAACAGGGCGGCTGCTGCGGTCTCTGAAATTGTTCGCTTCTCGACCAAGCAAAATGGAGAGGTGTGTTTTACTCGTATTTTACTTTCTGAGCATATTTGTCTTCATTTAGTGATGATTATGTACTTGTCTCATTCTGAACATTGGAGCTGATGTATTTTACTAGATTGGGAGGCTGCCAATGGATTGGGCTAGAATCGTAATTCCCCTTGTAAATTCTTCAAAGGTTAAGGTTTGTGGTCGATGTATAGCTACGCCAGAAAACCTTAATTTGATGCAAGAAATCGTACTGTACGTAAGGTAAAATCCTGATTGTTAATTGCTTCTAAGATTGTAATCCTTCCCCCCTTTCCTTACATATGGTTTTCGTCTAATTTCATTTATTTCTGAATTTTGATTGACTACGCCAGCTGATTTCAATTGAAAAATATTTGCTTCGTGGTGTTCTGATTTTGCAGCTTTTACATTCACAGTTCTATTTTTACTGAGGGTGATAAGTCTTCATGGAAGTTAGAAGTTCTTCCACACTTCGACTCTACTCTTTATCCTCTTCCTGCTCTTTTCAAATTGCTGAAAATTAAGCCATATCAGAAGGTTTCCCCCTGCATTTCTATTTCTCTTTCTACCTTTATCCCCTCCTGGTGTTGTAGAGGATTATGTAAACTTATATGATAATGATTTTTTTTTGTTGTTTCTGTGATTTTCTTTAACCAGGCAGAATTTACCCCGGAGGATCTTGACAATCGAAAACGTTCCTTAAACCTAGAGGTATATAAGTCAACATTACAACACTTCTTGAATCTGCTAATTATATAATTTACCCAATTGATATGATCTTCATACCTTTATAGGTTGGCCTTTTTTCTGCATGTTCTAATTATGCATACTTGACTTCTTAATTTAGATACTGAATCTGAAATTTCCTTGATATCAGGGTGATTCAGATGAAACTGCACCACTCTTTCCTCTTTTGAAACGAAAAAAGGGGGACCAACATCCTGAGCAAAGTAACGATGAACAAGTTATCTCAGAGTCAGCTCTAAATAAGCTTGTTGGTACTGCAGATACATACAATTTGGAGGTACAAGACAGTGAATGATTCATTTCGATCCAGGTTTTAGATGGTCATTATTTTAATGGACCATTAGTTTCTTTTGATGAACTTATTTGGTCATAATTTTTTTATTGTTTTCTCTTTGGAAATTATGTAGGAAATGGATCCTCCAAAAACACTCACKTGTGATCTAAGGCCATATCAGAAACAAGCTCTTTATTGGATGACAGAAGCAGAGAAGGGAATTGATGTTGAGCAAGCGGCCAAAACACTTCATCCATGTTGGTCAGCCTACCGTATATGTGATAAGTAAGCTACTAAAGAGGTTCTTTTATTCACAACATAAAGTAGTATCTCTAGTCAAGTTAAACTGCTTTCTTAAGGCATTTAATTTAAGCAAACCTGCTTTTGASCAGGAGAGCATCTGCAATCTATGTTAACAATTTCTCAGGTGAAGCTACTACACAATTTCCCAGTGCAACCAAAATGGCTAGAGGAGGGGTTAGTTTCCGCAGAGCCATCTTATCTAATTTCTGTGTGCATTATTTGTTCTTTCTTTAAGGCTATGATTGATTGGATAGAAAACAAGAGAGGAACAGAAAGTTGGAGAGCTCTTAGCAATTTTTTTGATATTCCTTGAGAGCCTTCCCTCTAATTGTCTACTCCTTTATTTTCTATCAAACCACAGACAGCCTAATGGAATGTTCTGTTGTCTAGTTATTAACTTACCAGGTGGCAATTTTTACAGATTTTAGCAGATGCTATGGGACTTGGAAAAACGGTGATGACAATTGCATTAATACTTGCAAATCGAGGCAGAGGAAAACCTGATGATGAAGAAGATTTCATGGTCACGGATACTGCGGCTAATTATGAAAAAACAAACAGAAGTAACAAAACGTTTAAAACAAAAGCCCCAGCAACAGTGAAGGCTGGCACCCTTATCGTTTGTCCTATGGCTTTGTTAGGCCAATGGAAGGTGAGGTTTTCCACCAGTTCAATGATTTTTCATTTTAATCTATATTCGATATTTTTTTCCCGAGTATTTGATGCTATTATAAGTCACACAAATAATGGTTACCTTGATAGAGCATTAGATAAACCTTACTTTCTTGCAAACTTGTTTGATGGCAAGTTTTCAAATCACTTTTCAAACCGCAGGATGAAATTGAAACCCATTCAGAGCCAGAATCTCTTTCAATTTTTGTGCACTATGGTGGGGATAGGACCAATGACCCAAAAGTGCTTTCAGGCTATGATGTGGTCTTAACGACATATGGAGTCTTAACTGTCGCTTACAAAAATGTAAGAAATCTATCTTAAGCTATTATTCATTTATTTTCATTTTTTGACTTAATTTCAAGTTTTTCCACTGCTTGGTTTTAACATAATCACATATCATCTAATTCAGGATTCAAATGAAAGCATTTTTCACAAAGTACAGTGGTTTAGGGTAGTGCTTGATGAGGCACATACTATTAAATCCTCAAGGACACTAGGTGCTCTGGCAGCCTTTGAACTGAATGCACATTGCAGGTGGTGCCTTACGGGTACTCCTTTGCAGGTTTGTGTACTTCCTTTATTGGTATTTTATTTTTGCTGGTTGAAGGTATGATCCATGGGGCTTCTGTGCATTCTAGTTCTTATTACTCGGGGAAATTTCTTGTTTCCAATTGTTGCAGAATAACTTGGAGGACCTCTACAGCCTTTTACGCTTCCTGCATGTTGAGCCATGGTGCAACTGGGCATGGTATGTGCTTTAAAAAATCCAATATTACATGAAATATTCACCTGTGTACTGTAAAACCAAGAAAAAAGTGTTACATATTTAACCAGCAGAGTAACAAGCTTGCAAGATCAATTAATTGTTTCCTCTTTCTGTTATTGTCCTTATTTTTGTTTACCTAATTTTAGGTGGCACAAGTTAATTCAAAGGCCTTATGAATCTGGAGATGAAAGAGGGCTGAAATTGATTAAGGCTATCCTAAGGCCATTGATGTTGAGGAGGACTAAGGAAACAAAAGACAAAGAAGGAAGGTAGGCCTAATAGTTTCTTTATATTTCACTTGGTCAAAAGAGAATACATCCTTCGATACCTTTTGATGGTTTAAATGTGTGTGGTTCAGGCCCATTCTTGTTCTCCCTCCAGTTGACATTAAAACCATTGAGTGTGAACAGTCTGAAGCTGAACGAGATTTCTATGAAGCACTCTTCAAGAGGTCCAAGGTTAGTGGCATACAAAATTCATTTTAATGAATTTCATCTTTCTATTTTTATTTTAGAGTTCAAACATGCAATTTGTTACAACAGTCACAGAAGAGCTTACAAACTAATTGTTTCATCGGTTACTCTCAATAGGTTTAGTTTTGCACTTGCCACTTGGGTCCTAGGCTTGTGTCTTCACTGCTAATGAAAGCTTACCATTGAAACAGGTCCAATTTGACCAGTTCGTGGCACAAGGAAAGGTTCTCCATAACTATGCGTCTATTCTTGAGCTGCTACTTCGGTTGAGGCAGTGCTGCAATCATCCATTTCTCGTTATGAGGTTATTTGGATTTACAGTTTTTGGCAAAATGTAGATTATGATCTCACATTTTCTTGTTCTTAATGCTTTTTGTAAATCTGCAGCCGGGGTGATTCTCAACAGTATGCAGACTTGAATAAGCTCGCGAGGCGGTTTCTTGAGATCAATTCTGATTTTGCCAACCCAAACCAGATGCTCCCCACTCGAGCTTATGTGGAAGAGGTTGTTGAGGGCATCAGGCGAGGAGAAAACACTGAGTGTCCCATCTGCCTGGAGTATGCAGATGATCCTGTGCTGACTCCATGTGCACACCGGATGTGCAGAGAGTGCCTCCTTTCGAGCTGGCGGACCCCATCAAATGGGCTCTGTCCAATTTGTAGGATGCCGTTGAAGAAGAATGAACTCATTACGTGTCCATCAGAAAATCGTTTCCGGGTTGATATTGAGAAAAACTGGAAAGAGTCATGCAAGGTTTCAAAGCTCCTTGATTGCTTGGAGCATATACGTCGTAAGGGTCCTGGTGAAAAGAGCATCATTTTTAGTCAGTGGACTTCATTTTTTGATRTACTGGAGATCCCTTTAAGGAAGAAAGGAATTGGATTTTTGAGGTTCGACGGAAAATTGAGCCAGAAGCAGAGGGAAAGGGTATTGAGGGAGTTCAGTGAGACCAATGAAAGAAGGGTAAGCTGTTATTATTTTTTACCTCTTTGTTTCTATGTTTCTCCAACAGGGTTCATACTCAGCATGCTTAGCTTTTGTCTCTTTCCCCAATCTGAGGATTTCTTTGCCTTGGAAAATAAGACTATTGCTTCATTATTTCAAGTTTTTGTCAATACTGATCCTTAGTCTCTTACATTTCAGGTGCTACTAATGTCGTTAAAAGCAGGAGGTGTAGGCCTAAATCTGACTGCAGCATCTAATGTCTTTCTAATGGTAAATGCAACCTTCTCTTCATCTTCATGAGGCGAATGGACGATTTTAATATGATATTACCTGATGTACTACATTTTTGGGTTTTCTTTATTTTCATTTTTGGTTTCAATAATTTCTGTTTCTTCAATAAATAGGATCCATGGTGGAACCCAGCAGTTGAGGAGCAGGCAATAATGCGAATTCATCGAATTGGGCAAAAGCGCAGGGTTTGTGTAAGAAGATTCATTGTTAAGGTAAGGTTCTTGTCTCTGAATTCTCTGCAATATCCATCAAAATAGACTGGCAATACGTTTCAGAAAGGCAAGCCAGACTATTGTTTGGAAAAACTACAAGTGATATTCCGTTGTCATGTTTTTATCTTATGTATTGTATTGTGTTCATGAAATAATGGATATGATGCAATGGGCAGGACACTGTGGAGGAGCGCCTGCAACAGGTTCAAGCGAGGAAACAGCGCATGATTGCAGGGGCCCTCACTGATCAGGAAGTTAGAACAGCCAGGATTGAAGAGCTCAAGATGCTATTTAGATAATTTAGTTCTACGGATAACAGTAAAAGTGTAAATATGAAAGTAAAAGGAAGAAAAAATATATGGCCCTTGTACATAGAACCAAATTTTGTGTAAATTTGTTTGGTTTCAATCCCTCTTCCTATTTATTTTTGGTTAGCAGAGCCCTAAAATGGCTTGTAAATTTTGTTTGATTTTTCATGGCTCTTTCTGGATTTGGTCACTGTTACCAATTTTCTCCCCTGTTACAAATACTAACAGTTTCTTGGTCAAGATTCAAGACTTCCATGAGCGATCCTTCTCCAGTTGTGCAATGATCAATGACTTCTAGAAAAGGGGAGATATACACCAAAATTTATTCGAGATATGTAGTTTCTTGACTCACTGATTCTACTTCAACATCTACGATTCTGACTAGGTCATGCAACTCTTGGGTCAAGCATTATTTGAATCCAAGGATTCTAGAACAACTGAAACTGATACAAGAATTCTAGAACAGCAGTAAAATTGATTGTCATTGTATTTGTGGTGGACCAAGTGATTTTCCCTTCTATTTCCCATGAACAGATAAATTGAGAACCGTGCTGATTATTAATCAAAGAAGCATGACAGTTGACAGCCGAAGCAAATTGAGATCAGAATTAAGTCATTAACTGTTCTTATACCTGGGAACAAAATATCAATTCCATTTTCATCAAATGTAGACTGTAGACCATTGACTGTAGATGGAGAAAAATGATATTACAAGTGGCAATATTTTGATGGGTAAGGTTCAAATTATCTACAAATAAAGACTTGGGGAAAAATTTCATCCATTCATTAATATTTCTAGCCGCTCTCTTAGGTCGTCTCTGGTTCAAAATTTTTGTTCTTGATATAATTTTGTCGAATTTTATGTCCTAGGGTAAAGAAGAATAAACAACCTTTTTGCTGAATGAGATCAAATTAGAGTCTAATTAATTATTTTAATTGTCTAGACTTGAAGGCTGATTTCTTTCTAGAAGAGAGAGAGAGAGAAGAGAAGACTAGAGAGGGAAAGACAGTTTGGGAGTCAAAAGTATTGCTGGCGGCACCCAACTTCTCATTTATAATAACATAACACAAAATAAAAGAAGTAAGATTACACTTATACCCTTGGTCGCACACCCTAATAATAATTTAATTAAAAGAAGAAAAAAACAAGCTAACAACAAATATAAAGAGTAACACTAACAACACTCCCCTTCAAGTTGGGCTGAATATATCTATCATGCTCAATTTGTTACAATTCATTGTGACTTGAATATTGGAAGCCCTTTTGTGAGAACATCAGCTAGTTATTGGAGTTGACATAAGGAATCCAAATATCACATTTTTCTAATTTTTCCCTTATGAAGTATTTGGTCCTCTTGTACAAGACTGAATTAATGGCAATGTTTATGATTGCCTAATTGTCACAGTAATGAGACATGATTGTGAACAGTAACTCCAAATTCCCCTAGAAGGTTTTTTGGCCAAAATACTTCAGCCACTCCGTGAGCCATAACCATATACTCTGCTTCAACACTTGACCTTGCTACTACACTTTTTTTTTTATTTCTCCATGTTATTAGATTTCCTCCCATAAATGTGCAGTACTCACTTGTGGACTTCCTATCATCCACAACACCTGCCCAATCAACATCTGTATAGACATACACCTTCAAGTGATTATGTTTATTAAATAGTAGATTTGTTCTTTGATATTGTTTCAAATACCTAAGAATCCTCTTTATTGTCTCTATGTGTGGTCTCTTAGGGGAATGCATGACTTGGCTCAGAAGTTAGGACCCTGTCTGGACGGGTCATAGACAAATAAAGCAACCTTCCCACTAACCTTTGAAATTGTTTCACATCTTTCAGAGGTTTGCCATCACAATCACCCAATTTATGGTCGACATCCATGGGAGTATCTACTGGCTTTGCACCTAACTTGCCTATGTCTTATAAAAGATTAAGGGTGTATTTCCTCTGAGAAATGAAGATGCCATTTTTTGAGCGAGCAACTTCAATTCCAAGAAAATACTTTAGTAGACCCAGATCTCACTTCAACTTCAACATTTATATTTCTGAGCTCCAAATTCCTATAATAATGATATCATCCACATACATCAACACAACAACCTATTCTTGACATCACTTTTTTTTTTTTTTTTTTGAAGCCATAGGGCAAGAGCTTTATTTAACTTTCAACTTGGAGGTTGCATCTCATCCAAAATAATAGATCGGATACAATATAGAATAGAGGACCAAGTAAATGATCGGTTTTGTCTTAGAGCAAATTGGGCAAGCCCATGGGCTGCTCTATTACAAGACCGAGGGGTGTGATACTGAGCACAGGATGAGAAGGATTTTGGGATGGTTTTACAATCCAAGGCAACTAGCAACGAACTCCAAGGGGGTTCTAGATCCAAAGAGAACTTGAATAGCAACTTTATCATCACTTTCTATGATAATCGGGTCAAAGATGAAAGATTTTGCTAGTCAAAGACCCTCTAGAATTGCTTTAAATTTAGATTCAATGGGAGAAGAACTCTTCACCAACAAGRCTTTGACAACTAGGAGTGATCCAAATTCATCTCGAGCAATGACACCGACTGCAACTTTTGATGGAGACCATGCTCCATCAGTATTGATTTTAATGTGCAAATGAGGAGGTTTGATCCAAACTAATGAGGTTCTTTGAAGAGAAGAAGGAGAAGCAAATCCTAAGTTTTATGGTTGGGTTAACAAGGGTCTTTCATGCATTTTCACCAAGTCTCCAAGGTGGGCATTATAGGGAATGAGAACGGCTGAATGAGTGAATGGCTTCCCATTAAAATAGGTTTGACATCTAGCCTTCCAAATATATCACATAAGAACAGTGCCTCTAGTAAATAGGGAGAGATTGGACTCCTCTTTAATAATGTTATTCATTTTCCTCCATTCCTCTAACCAGAAAAGAAAACCTTGACCATTGCAAATGTTGACTCACAAACCCATGGATGAGGCAAACCAAATTGGTTGAACCATTGGGCAGTGGAAAAATAAGTGGTCCAAAGTTTTTGGATCTTCATGGCAAAGTCTGCAGGTGGGATCAATGTAATTCGATCTCTTGGCAAGGCYAGTAGACACAAGAAGGGCTCCTTTGGAATAGCACCAAACAAAGGTTTTTATTCTGGGTAGGATGAATTTTATCTTCCAAAAGATTTCCAACTCACTCCTGGACAAACCCACATAGAGTGTGAAGATTCTGGAGAATTGGAAATAAGTTTGTATCCCGAATTACAGGTGTAGTTACCATGGGGAGTTAAAGTCCAAACCAGGGTATCCCCATGGGAATGAGAAGTAGAAGGGATACCAGTTCTCAAAATCATATTAACAGCCTCATTGAAACCCTATGTGTACACAACATTACTCCAATTATGAGAGTGCTGATCTATAATAGTAGCCACCATGTTTATGGGCTGGTTTCAAGTTGCAGGTTTATCAATAAGACCGTTTGGCAGCCAAGGATCATAAAAAATGTTAACATTCCACCCGTTACAGATAACCCACTTACACCCTTTAATTAAGTCATTTATGCAATCAAGAATAGCAATCCAAAGAGATGAATCACCTGATTTTTTCTTCTGACACCAGAAAGAACCATTTGGAAGATATTTTGCATGGAGAACCTGGGCCCACAAAGAGTTATTTTCCTTTAAGAAATGCCAAGCAATCTTCATTATGAGTGCTTTGTTGACCAAGCCAAAATGTCTGAAGCCTAGACCACCTTTCTTGACATCACTTCACAAAGAGAGTGTGATCAGATTGGCATTGTTTGAATCCTACATGTTGGACCAAGGTTCAAAGTATTGACAGGTATTGGCCCATATCGGCTGATACGTATCATTTCGAGACCCCTCTGATACGCCCCTATAGTGGGTGTATCGGGGGTCTGATCGGTTCAGGAGGTGGAGGTGCCCTAAACCAGTTGTGAAAAAAAAAGCAATAAAAAGCAGTACCGATTTGCTCGATACACCCCTACCGCTGTATCGGGCATATCGATACTTTGAACCTTGTGTTGGACTACTATATATATATATAGACACACACACACACACACTAAAACACAATAGTGAAGAAATTTTCTATGTTTTTATTTCATGTCATTTTTAAACAACAAATGAGATGCTCTCCTTCCCCATAAAAATTACCTAAAATCTCTCTCTCTCTCTCTCGTTTTCCAATAACCTAAATAATATCATCTCCTAAAATTTCTCCTAAACCACCTCCCCTACTATCCTTCACTTTCTCCTAAATTATCTCCAATTTAATAGAGATTTCTCTCCTAAATTATCTCTAATCCTATTTATCCTCTCCCCCACTTTTTATCTATATCTATATAAAGAAAGTTTGAATTAAAAAAAAATTAAAAATTGTTTAATATTCTCACGAAATTATATAATAACTTTAAAATATTTATTAAAAACACAAAAAATAGTTATAATAGCTTTGATATTATTCATATTATTAACAATTTTATATTTTTACAAAATTATTGTTTTCTAGATTTCAATTTAAATGTTATTCAAATAAATTATGTAATAAAAATATAAATTATTGATTTCCAGATTATTCAATTTAAATGTTATTCAAATAAATAAATATTTAACATTAAGAAAATAAAATATTATTTAAATATTTCAATAACTAAATATCTAAAATAACAAGATATTAAAATTGGTAAATACTTATGATGTAGCGCAACCCGGCTCCTCCTAGCTGGAGTTGATCTGGCTTCTAGTAAACAACAGACTCAGTTGATATGCAAAATGCGAATCAAAGAACCCGGGGTTGCTTACCCGGCGAGGTCACTCTGATGCTTAAGTCAGTACTTGGTTGCGAGCTGATAATAGCTTAGAATGCAAGAGAGCTAGAGAGCAGAGATTACACGTACCTTTCACCCCAAGGGGTGGAGCCTTTATATAGTGGAGCCTTCGCGGGTTTCGCGGAGCGGTTCCGGGATCCTCATTACGATGAGGTTCGTTTCCGCGTTAATTGGGGATAACGCTACTAACTGATAAGATTCATCACTTCTGTCCGAATCGGACGGGGGAGATAATGCTAGCTGTTACGAGGCGTGATCCCGTAAGGCGTGGAATCTGGTCGTGAGATCTTCGGGGTTGCCAAGCAGTGGTCGATCAGTATTACCCAAGCTAGTGCCCTTTGGATCCGACCTGGTATGAATGCCGAAGTGCCTTGGGACCGAGGTGGTCCTGATGCGATCGTGCTCCGAGGTGAACTTGTCCCG